AGATATGGACAGTATGCAGAAGATCACAGATTGGATCTTTGACAGATTTTATTTTTATTCTTATATGATATGATATTATATAATATGATGTGATGTACAGATCCATAAACCTGTATACCATTGGATCTTACCGGATACAGGTCCTTTTTGTCCAGTATTTGTCCAGAAACTCATGGTTCCTAGAGAATAAATCCTAAAATGATTATAACTTATGATCATATATCTTAATCACAGCAACATAGTAAATGTTTTAAATAACCACTGAAATGAAGCATGATAGATTATTGTTGAATCATGTTAAAAATCAAGTTATCTTTGGTTGAACTTTACTTTGTATTAAATAAGAACTGTGTATTCATAATTGTGTTGATCTTTGAATGGCAAGGTGAAGCTATGTGTCCAATATAAAAAGCAAATAAATATACATTTCTGTGAAAATGAAACCTACTGTATGTACCACACAGGCAAGTAAGTACTAAGTGAGTATAAAATATGAAAAGACTTGAAATATTCTGAACTATTCCTTTAGTGAATTTTTCTTTGTCAAGTGCAAATTCCAGCCGCGCAGTGAAAGTCCCCTGATGGAACCTGGTACCTGCCTGTAACCCGGCATCCAACTCCTGGGTCAACCAGCACTCTCAGTTCAGCTGCAAGTAACACAGAGGGGAGGAGGAGAGAGCCTGTTAGCTAGAAAACTCCTGACAACATCACTGAATGTCCAAAAGTACAGAGCAGAGAGAGGAAAAGACAGACAGAGCACGGAAGACACAGATGAGGAAGTAAGGGTAGCATAATAGGCTCGCGTTAGTGTCCTGCTTCCTTCAAGTTTCACAATTCACACAGAAAAGAGTCATTGTCATTCCACCAGGTTCCTCCTAACAATATAAATGCAAATATGTATAAACGAACTCCATAGGAATGGGAGCCAAATTAATATGAATAGGGAGGTGTGATAAAACAAAAAAGCAACAGAACTAGCTCACTGGTTTCCTTTTAAGAAGCCACTGGTCGATTAAAAAAAAATGGAAGCTGTATAAATATACTGATTGGACTGATATGAAGAATGGCCCCGCTTCAAGATTGTTTTTATACAGATAGGATGCAAAAATATGAAATGTGATGCAAATACGTGGACGCTTGACTGCAAAAATAATCAAAAGATGAGCTATAGATGACAGGTTATGAGCCTTACTTTCAGCAAAGAGGGTCAGAGGGTCTCACAGTGAGTGAAGTGAGATAATGTTGATTCAACACTCTTTTCACTTTATCATATAAAAATGTCTCACAGGTTGATGTGATTTAACTAATGACTACCTTCTGCAGATAATAGCTGAGTGGTTAAAGGTATTTTACCACTTTCCTGCAGACTTCCTTTGAGATTCTGTTTGAGTCTGCTCAAGGTTTCTGCTTCTTAAAAGGAAGTTTTTCACTGCCAGTGTTGCCAAATGCTTGCTCACAGTGGGAATTGTTGGGTCTCTGCAAATTATTTTATAAGGACTCTGCTGTGATTTGGCTCTATCGAAATAAAACTGAAATTAAATTAAACTGAATTTTGTTCTACCAGATGAAAAACAAAACATTTTTCCTCAGTGATAACAGGGGAAACGATTCAACGAGCATCTGACTTACAGTGGAGTTGAAGCGCAGGTGACAGATGTTACAGGAGATGATCTGTTTCTTCTTAGGTGGAGCCACGCCAAATGTGTGGTTGATCACTGCCTTCTGCACTGGGTCCATCTACGACGAGAAACACACACAAACACACGTGCACGTACATGAACATGTTAGTCCTGCTTCATGTTGTCTCTAGTTGACCTTACAGTATAATAAGGATCTGGGGTTTTTCATGTCATCCCTCCTCTCTACACTGCCCTCATTTTCTGTGATCTCTCCAAAAATTGAATGTAGGTATGTTTGACACTCACAATATTGAACCTACTAATATGTAGAACATTTTAAGCAGTTAGAAACTGCTTGGAACTTCCAGTACTCAGATCTTTTACTTAAGTAAAAGTACCAATACCACAGTATAGAAATACTAGTAATAGTAATAGTAATAGTAATACTAATACAAGTCCTGCATTCAAATTTGAGATGTTTTGCTAGTGAAAATACAAAGCATTAGCATCAAAATATACTTAAAAGTGCAAAAAAAAAAGTACTCATGGCCCAGAATAATATAAATTATATTATTGGATTATAATTATTGATGCATTAATGTGTACATTATGTATAAAGTAGCAGAAAATGGTAATACAATAAAGTACAAAGTTATACTTAAGTACAGTACTTAAAAAAAAATGTCCTTTCCACAATGTCCCAATTAAATCATTTATGTTTAATCAAGTAAATTATTCAATTAGAGTATTAAAAAAAACCAAATATATCCTTTGTTTAATATAAATCCTGATACATTTGTTTTACCATTCATATTTCAGGTAAATAGCCTATACCTGGTCACACCACTTGTAAGTAAATGTAACCCGATGTGGGTACCGTAATGGTCTTTTTAATTAAATAGCCTACAATTTCAAACAATTTGACTTTGTTGTCATGTTGTGTTCCTGGTAGCATAGAGTTGTATCTTTCCATTGATGATCAGTCCCTTTCAGGTCACTGATTTGTGTGACTAACTGTTAAGAATGAAGCAAGCTGTGTGTATTTTTACAACAAAAGATTAACAAATTACAGTTCTGAATTCACACTTTTAAAATAATCCTTCTGTTCATATTTTGAATCCCAGTGCAGCTGCGTTAGTTGAGTCATATTTTTAGCATTAGGTGTCAGACAGGAATCTTTTTACAGCCTCCCAAATGCCTGATACATTTAGCACGTTCCTCTGACTTCTCTCATTAAGGGTTAAAGCTACATGTAGAAAGTCTGCAGCTTTATCATTTAGAGGAAGACCAGACATATATATATATATATGTGTGTGTGTCTGTGTGTGTGTGTGTGTGTGTGTGTGTGTGTGTGTGTGATAGAGAGAGAGAAGTG